GTAACTTCCATTTCATATGACCATTAAAATAAAACATGAAGCAGTCATGGTTCCTACAATCCAGAAATGTTTAGACTAGCAACTGAGTAAATAATTGAACCATCATATGGTTGGTACAACAAATAGATATGCCCAAAATATTGGGCATTATTTGCCACTTTATATTGTGACTTCTGATGTCTATACTTGAAAGGATATTTATGAACAGAATTGTTGTTATAATTTTTTTTTTCTTTTTTGATATGGAGTCTCCCTCTGTCACCCAGGCTGGAGTTCAGTGGCACAATCTCAACTCACCACAAACTCTGCCATTTGGGTTCAAGTGATTCTTCTGCCTTAGCCTCCTGAATAGCTGGGATTACAGGTGCCTGCCACCACACCCAGCTAATTTTTGTAATTTTAATAGAGATGGAGTTTCAAAATGTTGGTCAGTCTGGTCTTGAACTCCTGACCTCATGATCCACTTACCTCAGCTTCCCAAAGTGTTGAGATTACGGGCATGAGCCAACAGGCCCAGCAGTATTTCTATTTCTTTCATCCTGTTAAGTGTACATATTTGTTTCCTAATAAACTTACCCTAGAAAACCTTAAGGGATTTGTTTAAATTGCATATTAGCATATAATATAGAGTTGACAGGGCAGTGGCTAGAAAAGATTAAAATTACACAGACTCTGGGATTTAAGTTTCTTTTAGGTAAGCTTAGAAAAAACAAAACTGGAAATACCCCAGTGGCATAGAGAACAGAATTCTACAGAGGGTCCACTTCCTGACCCAGTTCTGTTGAGATTCACCCTTTTTGGAGGCCTTATTTAGGTGTGACCCTACCCTGGAGTCTTGCTTCACAGAACTGTGTAGAAGAGATCAGAGTTTTGGCTGGTGAATCCTGTTGTCTTTCTAGAGCTGGTGCTTACAATGTCCTGAAATCCAAAAAACAGATAAATGGGAAAATAAGTGTTGTAGGGTCTTGGTTTTTAAATTTTATATTAAAACCAGTGTTTGCAGAGACATTCTATTTAGGAACTTGTTTTCCATTCCTGCATATCTGGTAGTTGCTTCACAAGTCACAAAAATGTAAATATAAACATAATAAAATTTTCTCTAAACTACATTAAACTCTTGCTTTCCATGTTTTTTTCATCTGTCTATATTTAGCTTTAATTTTTTGCAGTTTTTAAAAAAATTTAACGGCAGAGAAACAGAAGAAGCAACAAAAATGCTGAGCCCTTTACCTAAATCCTGAAAATTATTATACACTTAGTACCAGCTCCCAGGGTGTTATGAGAATTAAATCACATAATGTGTTATGCCCAGCACAGTGCTCTGTATCATACTCTTGAGCACATAGTACCTGTTTAAAAAACATTGCATTAGTACATGTGTACATGTTTTTTAAATCCAGACTTATTCAGAAACTGCTGCCTTATGTTTTTTCTGTAAACTTTAAAGAACCAGCAAAGGCTACAAAACTTTTAGATGGAGATAGGTTGTCCTTATTTGTGCCAGAAGTATTTGGTTGTGACAAGAGTGCTGACTGTAAGGGACCTTGTGCTGTGCCTGCTTCTCTAACTAATGCTAATAATGAGCCAAGGAGGAGCAACATCAGCATTGACAGGGAACTTGTTTAAAACACCCATTCATGGACCCTTTTCAGACCTCCGTAGTCACATTACATAAATTGGGGCCAAAATTACCAAGTGATTTATAAGCTTGTTAAAGCTTGAGAGAAAATGCTTAGCTCAGTGGTTATCAGCCCAGACTTCTCATTAGGATCACATGGCGAATTTGCAGAAATGTCTTGTGCCCTCCCCACAGCTTCTGATTATTATTCTGGGTGGAAACATCCATGTTGTTTTAATGAAGTCCCTTGTGTCACTCAGGTAAGACCAGAATCAAGTATGAGGCCTTCAAAATACATTCATGAGAGTTAAGTTCCAACTTTGCACTAAAGGGTGGTCACAGGGCCTGTTCTGTTTGGGTTTGGTAGGGACAGGTCAGTGTGGCGCTTATTTCCATTACTGTAGCAGAAATGGCTGGTGTCTGTGGCAGGGGAGAACATCTGAGGACAGGAAAGAGAAATTTATATTTTTATCTTCATGGAGCAGCTCATTGTTCCTGAATGTCTTCTGTTTTAAAGGACAGAAATGGGTGGACTTTTTCTGTCTTTGTTTTTCTGCCAGTTGATGTCATGCTAACAGGTAAACATGTGGTACTGAAACCTTTAAAGACATATTCTCAAGATTCAGGTGTAATTTGTCTAGAGAATCTCATCTCAGAAGGAATTTCAGAGAAGGAGGAGAAAGAAAAAAAAGTGGCTTTTCTTCAGGTAAACATGTCTTAGATGAAGAGCAGTGTCGACTCTGCCTCCTGGACTGCCATGCGTTTAGTACTCAGAAACCTTTACTTCTCTACTTGTGTTTTTCCTCCCTAATGAGTTTGGTTTAATTACTTCTTTAAATTTTTATGATAGTCAGGAGTCTCTGAAAAATATTTCTTTCCTATATTCCAGAGCCTTCTCTTTATTCTCCGCATCATAGCTTCTTATATGCCATGTAGAATTCTCAGCAAGAATTTAGGATCTGCAATTTTTAAAATGTTCCCTTTGTGGCTGTTGAACATGGAAAGATGTGGATACTCAAGATTTCTATTGGGGAAAACTGTGGTCCTTAGTAAAGACGGAGAACATGTAATGATGAGGCTCCATCTGTGTGTTCCATTAGCTGTATGCAGACCAGGATTAAGAAAATGCTTATTTAGGCTAGGTGCGGTGGCTCACAACTGTAATCGCAGCATTTTGGGAGGCTGAGATGGGCGGATCACAAGGTCAGGAGATCGAGACTATCCTGGCTAACACAGTGAAACCCCGTCTCTACTAAAAATACAAAAAATTAGCCAGGCGTGGTGGTGGGCATCTGTAGTCCCAGCTACTCGGGAGGCTGAGGCAGAATGGTGTCAACCCGGGAGGAGGAGCTTGCAGTGGGCTGAGATGGCTCCACTGCACTCCAGCCTGGGGGACAGAGCGAAACTCCGTCCAAAAAAAAAAAAAAAAAAGAAAATGTTTATTTAAATGGGATGGCATTTATTACCCAGAAAGTTCTGAAAAAAGTTATTAGGAGATACCTGCTCTTTAGGGTGCTAAATGAAGCCTACTTAAAATTACTACTAAAAATTACAGAATGTAGCAGTCATCTGTATTTTAAAGTTTGTATAAAACTGATGTTTCTTTTTTTTTTTTTTTTGACACGGAGTCTGGCTCTGTCACCAAGGCTAGAGTGCAGCGGCCTGATCTCGGCTCACTGCAACCTTCGCCTCCCAGGTTCAAGCAATTCTCCTGCCTTAGCATGCTAAGTAGCTGGGATTACAAGTGCTTGCCACAACACCTGGCTAATTTTTGTATTTTTAGTAGAGACAGGGTTACACCATGTTAGTCACGCTGGTCTCGAACTCCTGACCTTGTGATCCTTCCCCCGCAGCCTCCCAAATTGCTGGGATCACAGGCACGAGCCACCATGCCTGGTCTAAAACTGATGTTTCTTTATGCTTACATTCAGACTATATTTTTTTTGGGGAGGAATATTTCAACAGTGATGCTGTGTTCTTCTGTGTGCATTAGCACATCATAAAAATTTGTCCTAGGCTGGGCATGGTGGCTCACACCTGTATTCCCAGCACTTTGGGAGGCCGAGGCAGGTGGATCACGAGGTCAGGAGATCGAGACCATCCTGGCTAATGTGGTGAAACCCTGTCTCTACTAAATATACAAAAAAATTAGCTGGGCATGGTGGTGGGCGCCTGTAATCCCAGCTACTTAGGAGGCTGCGGCAGGAGAATGGTGTGAACTCGGGAGGCAGAGCTTGCAGTGAGCCGAGACTGCACCACTGCACTCCAGCCTGGGCGACAGAGCAAGACTCCGTCTCAAAAAAAAAAAATTGTCCTAGTGAAGTTAATGATTCACTTGGTTAAATATCTCTGATATATTTTTTTCACTATAGAGTTAATTATTTTTCCTCTTTATTATTAAGTATCTTTATGCAGCTGATGTGCATAAACCATCACAGTTAATCTGGCAACTGTCCTTTTTTTTCTCTACATATGTTTCTATGGTGAATGAAGGCTATTATGTTTGTTTACAGGCTAGAAAAAGTGGGGAAGACACAGGCTCTTCCACTTACTAGATGTTTGTCAAAATATCCTTCTTGGCCAAAAACATTGGCATTACTGGTGAGCTTGTTAGAAATTCACAAAATTAGCTGGGCACGGTGTCTCCACCTGTAATCTCAACACTTTAGGAGGCCAGAGGGGGCAGATCACCTGAGGTAAGGAGTTCAAGACCAGCCTGACCAACATAAAGAAACACCATCTCTACTAAAAATACAAAAAAAAAAATTACCAAGTGTGGTGGAGCATGCCTGCAATCCCAGATACTTGGGAGGCTGAGGCAGGAGAATTGCTTGAACCTGGAAGGTGAAGGTGGCGGTGAGCCGAGATGGCACCATTTCACTCCAGCCTGGGCAGCAAGAGCGAAACTCCATCTCTAAATAAATAAATAAATCAGACTTTATTCCAGATCTTCTGGGGGGGAGGGGGGGACCTGCATAACGAGGTCTTCAGCTTATTGTACATATTAAAACGGAGATGCCTTCTAACTCAACATGTCTTTTCCATCTGAAAAATATTCACAACTCATTCTGTATGATGTAAATATAGCACTCAAAAATATACATGTTCATGTTCTTCCCTTAATTTTATACTTTATTATCTAGAAAAATACATGAATTGATGTGGATCTTATGCTGCTCTTTCTTCTCAGAGTTAGAGAATACATTAGATAATATTTCTGTTTTGAAATCATTTTATTGGGTAATTTTAGTTAGTCCTATAAGTCAGAACCAGTTCTCTTTACTCTCTCATTTCACCTTAAGTCAAATTAAAAATTCCACCCATGGCCACTTGGTAAAAGTGTGTGTGTGTGTGTGTGTGTGTGTCTGTGTGTGTTTTTCAGGGACCATTGCAATTTAGAGATGTGGCCATAGAATTCTCTCTGGAGGAGTGGCATTGCCTGGACACTGCACAGCGGAATTTATATAGGGATGTGATGTTAGAGAACTACAAAAACCTGGTCTTCCTTGGTGAGGATAACTTGAGTACATAATAATATACCCTAAATGTTTTATTTATTTATTTATTTTTGTAGAATTTTTTTAGTAATTTACTATTTGCATAAAAGAGTTTCAGATCCCCATTTTCCAGAAAATCTTCAGAATTTGTTCATTTAGAAAAGAATTTCTTCAACGTGTTCCATCTTACTCCAAACTTTCCACATTCCTGAGTTGAGCTGTATTCTTCATTCTAAATTAGTGGTAATTCCAGAAATTTAGTGGCATAAAATATTGTTGCCCCCACCTGAAAATCTAATTGCCACCACCAATTTTTGATTCAGTAGAACCAGATAGTGAAATTAAGAAACCTACAAGTTGAAAGTATTTTCTAATTATTTAGAAATTTCTGTTACAACTTAGTATTTTTGTATTAATTTACTAGAATATTTTATCACATTCTCTCTGCTGAGCACATTACTAGCTTGTAATTGGAGAATATAAGCAAGATTTATGTTCTTTATTTTTAATAAAACAGGTATTCCTGTTTCTAAGCCAGACCTGATCACCTGTCTGGAGCAAGGAAAAAAACCTTTGACTATGAAGAGACATGAGATGGTTGCCAAATCCCCAGGTAGGTGCAAGTGAAAATGAATACAACAGATGACACAGATAAGGGGTCCCAAGGTCAAAGAGAAAGCCAGTCCTTAAAGTGTGATTTGGGAAGCTGTGTTCCAAAGGAAATAGTTCTTGGGCAGCTGGGTTTTTTTGTTTGTTTGTTTTTTCTTTTTTAATTTTGCTCTTACAAAGGAGCATCATCTGTCTTATGCTTTTAAATTCTCTAAGGATTTTCCTTTTCTTTCAGTGAGCTTCCTTCAAGTTCATAGTGAGAGCCAAAGTCCTCTTCATGGCATAAAGAGACTGTACAATGTGGCTGCTTTTCCTTAATTTTTGGGACACACAAATATCTGCATGATTTTGAGAAACTAAAATTACTCTCAAAGTTCTCTTTTTGCATCAGGTCTGAAATGTCTGAGAGTAATAGTTTCTGTTGAATTTTGTTTGTTCATTTTTCTGCACAGTCCATTCCGTTTTTATTACTATCTAGTCTTGAAATATATAGTTTGAAATTATAAGTATGACATCCCTCTGCTTTGTTATTTTTCCTCATGGTTGCTTTGGCTATTCAAAGTTCATTTTAGTTTCATGTAAATTTTTGAATTGTATTTTCCATTATTGTGAAAATAGTACCACTGCAATTTTAATTAATAGGTTTATTTAATCTATAGATCGGATAATATGGCACTTCAATAATATTTATTTTTTCAATTCATAGATAAAATATTTTAAAATTTATTTGTATCTTTTCTAATTATTCCTTTTTTTTTTTTTTTTTTTTGAGATGGAGTCTTGCTCTGTCACCCAGGCTGGAGTACAGTGGCCGGATCTCGGCTCACTGCAAGCTCCGCCTCCCGGGTTTACGCCATTCTCCTGCCTCAGCCTCCCGAGTAACTGGGACTACAGGCGCCCGCCACCTCGCCCAGCTAGTTTTTTTTTTTTTGTATTTTTTAGTAGAGACGGGGTTTCACCGGGTTAGCCAGGATGGTCTCGATCTCCTGACCTCGTGATCCGCCCATCTCGGCCTCCCAAAGTGCTGGGATTACGGGTTTGAGCCACCGCACCCGGCCTTTCCTTTTTTATTGTAAAGATTTTTTACCTCCTTGTTTAATATTTTCCTCAGAAATTTATTATTTAATGGTATAGTCAATAAAATTTTTTTCTTCTTCTATTTTATCAGATATGTATGAAACCATAGATGTATGTCAATTTTATATTTTGCTAATTTACTGAGTATATCTATTAGTTTAGACAGATTTTAATATACTGTTTATGGTTTTTTAGATATAAGATTGTATGATCTACAAATAGCAGCATTTTACTTATTTTTTACTTTCAGTGGATTTTTTTATTTCTTTGACTAATTCTTCTGCCACATACTTCCAGTGCTACATTAAAATAGAAGCACTGACAATGGGCACAATGTAGTTTTGTACTGGTGTCTGAATTTGATGGAACAAACACCTCTTCAAGTTTTCATAAACTGATTTTAGAAGGTAAAGATTTTCTTTTGTTGGGCCCTTAGGGTGATGAGATGCCCTCTGAATTTGTAGTGAAGAGGGGTTGTAGCTTGGTCACAAGGACGCTGGGTCTCCACTAGGGTTCACCTTCAGTTGACCTGTTACGGGGGCTTGGGTAGTTGTAATTCCCGTTTTATTTTTGGACAGACTGCATATCTTTCAGGACTTTGCTCTGTAGGGCAGACACTAGGGCATGCTTTGCAGTCAGGTCTGCATATGCTGGGCCTTAAATCAGGATGTGGATGAGTGTGACTTTCAGTAAGTACCAGAGAACATTTCCTCAGGTAACTGTGTGGGTTTCTATATAGGCAGAACTGGCCATAAACTGTGGCTAACATAACTGAAACTGAGTCAGTGAACTGTTTCAGGGACCATGGTAAAGGCCAAAGTCTGCAGGCCTGCCTACATGGCTGTAAATGGGTGCCTTCCTCCAGGTCTCTGGCATAGCAGGACCTCTGCCAGACCGGGGCTGGGAGGAGTCTGTGGTGGTTACAGAGTAAGTTTAGAATTCTCTGTGGGACCAAGTTGGGTGAACCCTATCCTGGTCTGTAGCCAAGAACAGGGGTCCTGTAATTTCCCACCTGAATGAGGGCCTGCCTTCTGAATAGAACATGTCTCGAACTGAAGCTTTAACAGCATTTCACAACTCCATCCCTGGATCTCAAATCTGTCTTAGAGGCACTTATTTTGGAGATGGTGTCTTGCTACATAACCTAGGCTGGTCTCAAAATCCTGGCCTGAAGCATTTCTCCAACAGTAATGTACCATGTAGCTGTCATTACAGGTGTGAACCATAATGCCTGGTTCTCATAAAGTCATTTTTGGTCAGGGATGGCTGACTTTTTTTGCTGTAAGGGGATATGAAAATAGAGCACTTTTATTCTTTTCATCTTACCGATGTCACTCTCCTTATACATTTCTTTCTTTCTATATTCTATTTCAAATTTGTAATTTTAGATTCAGATATTTAGACAATATGCTAGAATGTGCATGGTATGCTGAAAGTAAATTAGATAATTAGTAAGCACTCCATATTTATGAAAATAGTTACTAAATAGTTATAGTTACTAAATATAAATAGTTACTAGTTATAAGTAGTTATAAAATTATGGGATTTTCATCTACTTTCTTCACCCTGTATATAAATAATAACAGAGTTTATTTCCTAATATTTGTTTTACATATCTGAGGGTCTAACCCTATTCTGCAAAATATATATATATATTTTTTTTCTATATTTAACAATGTAAGGCTATTCTTTGCTTCTAAAGTTGGAATACAGCAGTTTTGTGTAAGAATAACGTATATTTAAAACATAAAAAGCAACTCTAGTTTCTTTTAAATGCTAATTTATTAAAAGTTTCTCATTAGAATCTTCTATTTATAATTATACCGCAGATTCTCTGAAATTTTACTGCCACACAGTGCATGCCAATGATTCAAAATACCTGTATATGATGAATACATAATAACAGTTAAAGATTACAGTTACCTCAACAATTTTTTTTTTTTTTTTTTTTTTTTTTTTTATAATGAGTTACCCGCTCTCATCCAGGCTGGAGTGCGGTAGTGAGATCTTGGCTCACGGCAACCCTCACCTTCCGGGTTCAAGCAATTCTCATGCCTCAGCCTCCCAAGTAGCGGGGATTACAGGGATGTACCACCGTGTCTGACTAATTTTTGTATTTTTAGTAGAGATGGGGTTTCATCACGTTGACCAGACTAGTCTTAAACTCCTAACCTCAGGTCATCCGCCCGCCTCAGCCTCCCAAAGTGCTGAGATTACAGGCATGAGCCACAGCGCCTGGCCTGACAAATTTTTGTAATGATACTTCCATGTGTTATACCAGATTTTATGAGTAAACATTTATCTTACTGTTTGAAGTTCTGTATTAGCGTGTTTTTCCAGTGTAGTTTGTTTGTTTGTTGTTGTTGTTGTTTTCAGAGGAAGTCTCACTCTCTTGCCCAGGCTAAAGTGCAGCGGCACAATCTCAGCACATTGCAACCTCCGCCTTCCGCGTTCAAGCCATTCTTCTGCCTCAGCCTCCCGAGTAGCTGGCACTACAGGCGCGCCACCATTCCCTGCAAATTCTTGCATTATTATTCGAGACGGTGTTTCACCATATTTCTTTTTCTTTATATAATTTTATTTATTTATATATTTATTTATTTAGACATGCAGTTTTGCTCTTGTTGCCCAGGCTGGAGTGCAATGGTGCAATCTCAGTTCACTTCAACCTCCGCCTCCCGGATTTAAGCGTTTCTCCTGCCTCAGCTTCCAGAGTAGCTGAGATTACAGGTGCCCGCCACCATGCCCGGCTAATTTTTTGTATTTTTAGTAGAGACAGGGTTTCACCATGATGGCCAGGCTGTTCTTGAACTCCTGACTTCAGATGAGCTGCGCATTTCGGCCTCTCAAAGTGCTGGGATTACAGGCGTGAGCCACCATGCCTGACCTCATTTATTTTTGAAATAGGGCCTCACTCTGTCAACCAGGCTGATTTGCATGTCTCACTGCTATCCAAACCTCCCAAACTCAGATTGTCCTCTCATTTTAGCCTCCCAAGTAGCTGGGTTACTAGTATGTGTCATCACACCCAGCTAGTTTTTTGTATTTTTTGTAGAGACAGAGTTTTCCCATGTTGCCCAGGCTGGTCTTGAACTCCTGGGATCAAGTGATCAGCCTACGTTGGCCTTCCAAAGTCCTAAGATTACATTTTATTTTATTAAGTAGTTTAATTAATTTATATTTAAATGATTGCTTAAAGAAATGAAGTTGTTATTTCCCATTATATTGTGATTGTTTTATGTTTCTAGTAGTTTTATTTTTCTCATTTCCTGCTTTACTTTCTTAATTTTTATTTAATTTTGTACTGGCATGTATTATTTTTTACTTTCTTTTGCATACATTCTATAAATATTATCTTTGTAATCATCTTGAAAACTGGAGATTACATATATCTTAAAGTTAAAACAATATGTTTTAATTTTATAACAATTTCAATTTAATACAAAAGCTATGTCTCTATATTTTCCAGTTATTATATGGTATATTTATTAACAAATTTAGGCAGAATTTTTTTTTTTTTTTGAGACAGAGTCTCACTCTATTGTCCAGGCTGGAATGCAATGACACAATCTCAGCTCACTACAGGCTCCACCTCCCAGGTACAAGTGGTTGTCCTACCTCAGCCTCCCATGTAGCTGGGATTATAGGTGTGCACCACCATGCCCGGCTAATTTTTGTATTTTTAGTAAAGACAGGGTTTCACCGTGCTGGCCAGGCTGGTCTCAAAGTCCTGGCCTTATGATTCGCCCTCCTTGGCCTTCCAAAGCACTGGGATTACAGGCATGAGCCACTGTGCCCGGCTGATTTATGCACATTTACTTACGTTTTTTATATTCTATAAAAGAACTTTAAAGGTTTTATGAACAATCATTTTGATTTTGTTTTGTTTTGTTTTTGTTTTTGTTTTGTTTTTTGAGACTGAGTGTC